GGGAATTATATAAGCTAGACGTAAAAGGCAAAGTGCGCTTTTTTCTAGGTATTTAAGTAATTCGCAACTAAGCAGAGCAGAAGATTTATCTCTCTTATAAAGCATATATTAACAAAATCGCTAAGAAATTTAGCTAAGCTTAAAAAGCTATATATCTTGTAATTCCGATCCCTGTAATAGAGTACTATAAGCGCGAGGGAGAAGCTATAAAGTCTAAGATAAAATTATACTAAAAGCGAATTAGCTTAATTTTATACACGGTAATTATAATTAGGCCTAATATTATATATACTATATTAAAGCTATTATAATTCCTTATAAATCTAGGAAAAGAGTATAGTAGGGTAGTAGATTAAGCTATTAGATATTTATTCCTTATATAGTATCTTGCCTTATACTATAGTAGTACAAGTAACACACATGCGTTATAAATATCTAGTAATGCTTTTTTTAGTAATAACCTTACTACGCGTAGGTCTTTATAGGGATATCTTATTACTTTCTTTAGAGGACTAATCTTATAAAAGGTAACGCGCTAAATAACTATAAGTATATTAATTATAAAGGCTAAATTGCTTGCTTTATAGTAAATAGCGTAGGAAATAATAGTGCTTTAGCGCCTCTTTTATAATATTTAACTCCGCACTTATAAAGACTAGATTATTAATTATAATAATTTATAGATAATCTAGTTAGTGCTAAACGACATAGAACGCACTAATACACGGCTAAGGCATGTTAATATTTATAATATGTAGTTAAAGTAAGAGTTTAAGTAAGAAAGCTTTAAAATCTTATATCTTCCTACTATAAATATACTAGCTAATAGGTTTACAAAAGCATTAGATTATTAGCGCTTTAAGTAATTCTAGAAGATGCTTAGAATAGTTAATTTACACACCTAATCCCTTAAAAAGTAATTAGATTTTTAAACAAAGCTTTTAGCATAAAAACACCACACACTACAAGTCCTCCTAGGCTTATAGTAATTATAGTAACTATAGAATTTAATTAAAAACAAATATGTGCACACTACTTTATAAGAGTAATTTAAGGGACTAAGGAAAGCTTTAAGAGCTTTGTTAATTAGAGTGATTTAATTATTTCACACGTAAGCATTATAATTATAGATTTAGCACTTAAGAGGGGGGGCGGCTAGGTATATTACCCTAAGTAATTATATAAGAGCCCTCCCCTTAAGTAGCAAAAGCGCTATTAAGGCAAATATAACTTTTTTAAGGTAAAATTTAATACTACTAACGCTAACGCACAGAAAAGAAAAACAAATAAAATGCCTAACTAAACCACGCAAAAAGTAATAAAAGTAATAAGACTTCTACACAAGAGCACGCATAACACTCTTAAGGTGCGCTATAATAGTTATAACCTTCTCCTCTATAGCATTAGTTATGCTAGCGCTAGTAATAGCGGCAGGAGCGTTGTTATAGACTAAGGGCTTCTTAGTTATAAGGTCCTGCTGTATGTATAGCGCTATATAGCACTAGTTATATAGCTTCTTTTATTAGAAATAAAGTATATATAAAGAAGGAGATCTTCTTACCTAACTATTAACGCCCTACACTGCTATTATCTATCTAGCTATAGGAGCTATAATAAAGGGCAAAGGGGAATACTTATAATTCCCTTACTTATAAGTGTAATAATGCTTACTACGCCCCTAAGTGTAATTAAAGTAGCGCCTATTACCCTTACTATAAATACAAGAGCGCACACACCCTTAGTAAGAGTATGCGCGCTCTGCACCTTTAGTAGGGATAGTAGGTTATTATAAAAGTTAGTAAGTAATAATATTAAGAAGAAGAAAAGTATAATAAGTATACTATCTACTAACCCCTCCCCGCTAGCTTAGAGCCCTTAGGCCCCTTAGCGCTACTAGAAGGACTAATATCCTTCTCTTCCTCCCTAGAAGCTATAGGCAATAATATCTCTAAGCTTATAAGCTTAGAGTTACTAGAGCTAGTGTTACTAGCTCCCCCTGCTCCCCTTCCTGCTAGTAGTGTAGTTCTCTAGCAAGTGACAGCGCCTATTGTGTGTGTGTATGTATTTTCTTAATCACAAAGGTTATTAAAGGAGGAAAAAGGAAGCTTTTAACCCGGCTACAGAGGGTAGTATTATGTGTGGTAGGCGTGGTAAGCAAGAGGCAAAAAACTTACCTTAAGCTTACTTTAGGGGTGCGTTATATGCTTGCGAAAACACTATATATTTTAGCGATAGAGTTAATTAACCCTTCTTTAACAGCCTTAAATTAGTGTTAATTAGGGGGTGTGTTGCCTGTGGTTATATGTGTAGAACCCTTTAGATAGTTATCTCGCTTTATTGCAAAGAGCGTAGTTACTGCCCTTTGCCCTGTGCGCCACTAGGGCATATAGGAGCTCTTTTCCGCCTATATTTAGGCTCTCTTTTTTCCCTCTCTTTTTCTCTCTTTTGTATTGATGTATCTAGATAGGTCATACTATCACGTATCCGTACCAGTGCCTCTTTCGTGCTAGAGCTTCACTTCCGGTCTCAAAGTGGAGACATGATCGGCAGGCGCGAGCGTCGTGTGGAAGTGCCGCGTTCCGACGACGCCAAGACCAGCACGGTCTCACGTGACCCACTTCCGACGGGAATGTTGTGAAAGCGAAAAACATTGTCCAACATCCATCGTCATCATCATCAACATCATCATCAAAATCATCCTCATCTGCAAGGCGCTCGTCTTTGTTTATGTATTTCGCCCACACGCTGTGCACCCGAACTTTATACACAATACTACTACCTACCATCGTGTGGCTCACTCTTGAGCCTTGCCCAGCTGGCATTCATCTACAGTTGCTTCATCCCATTCTCCCCTTGCCCGCCAGCAGTATTCGCGCCATCACCACGAGAGTCATGGGCCTTGTTTCTTGCCGTTGCCGTTGCCGTTGCCGTTGCCGTCGCCGCTGCCCTCGGCCGCAGGGCCGCGGCCACCACCACCCTGCTTACTAGCTTCTCCGCCGCCGCCAACAATGACCTTGCCGCCGCCCTTGACATTCCCCACCACCATGCCCTTGGCCACGCTCTTCAAGATTGCGCGTCGAGAAACCCCCGTGACGTCAATGTAGACGAGGCCGACATTCTTGACTCCCCCACCAAGATTGCGAGAAATCTCACCGGCCTCGGGGCCCCATTTATGCTCGACGACGTGGCTGACGCTGGACGAGGTGCTGGTCAGCAAGCTGCGTCCCGCCTGTTCCATGCCATCCACGACCGTATTGAAAGCCATGAGGCTCTTGTTGAGCATTCCTGGCTTGTACGTGTCGATGGCGTTGCCGTCCTGGTCGAACCCACGCGCACGTCCATTCTTTCCCTTGGACACGTTGGCGCCAAAGTTCTGCGCAACCTTGGCGATGGAGCCGACCGTCGACGCAGATAGGCCTGCGGCCTTGGTGGACAACTGATTGATCCTGCGGATGTGCTCGTGCGTCGTGGGCGTAAAGGTGACGGGCTTGGCGTTGGGCTGACTGTTCTTGGTGTAGCTTTCAGCCTGGCTTTGGAGGGTCTGCGCGACATAGTCAGACGTCGTGATGAGGAGACGAGATGCTCTCATTCCCATATTGACAATGGTGGACTTTTTGTAGGCCGGATGCATCTTGTCTCTCTCGTCGGCATATCCTGCAGCTGGTTGAACGCTGATGGCCTGCGACGCATCAGTAGGCAGGGTAATTTCGACAGGATCTGGAGAGAACCAAGATTAGTACTGACATGGCAATCGCCTGGAGATCAAATGAGACTTGGGGGAGGGGGGGACCGGCGGAGTGGCACAAACCTTTGGACCCGGCCTTGATGGCAGTATCCTCCACAACTTGGTATCCGTCGCTCAGCTCGCCAACAACACTGCCATCTTCCTCGTCCACCAAGACAATGCGGCCACCCTTGGAGGCCGAGCTCACGCTGCCCTGGACGTAGCCCTCGCCTTTAGTAAAGGTACCAGGGTCGTACACAGGCAGCTCCTCACCGGCTGCCTCTCTTGCCTTGGTAGAAGACGGCGCAGCGGATGCTGCTGTCTTGCCCCTGTTACTGGGCCTGGGGGGCGGCGCGCGTTCCAGAAAGGCGGTGCACTGCGCGAGAATCGTTTCAAAGGTGTCGACGTCCTCTTGAATGCCGGCGCGACTTCCCACGGCGGGAAACTCGATCCGCGTGAAGGCGCCGCTGTCGGGACCGAGATCCCACCGGGGAATCAGGTAGCTCGTCGGGGGCTGATGGTAGATCTGCGTCGTGGCCGGAAGGGGCAGGTCAAGCTCCGGGGGCAGATGAAGGTGCAAGTAAAAGTCCTCTTCGCCCGACCCAACGCCCGAGGGGTCGGCAAAGCTCGACGCTGTGGGCACCATCAGCAGGGACAGTGTCTGGGGCCCGGAGGGCGTGAGTGGTTGTTCATTGCCATTGGCGATGTGGTAGGCTTTGATGCCGTCGATGGCGTAGAGGAGCTTCGGGTCCTGCAGATAAATATGTTTAGCATAATTGGCGGGATGTGAAAGGGCCTGGCGCGGCTTCTGCGCGTACATTGCTCGATGAGGCCATGGTGAAGGCGACGAAGACGAAGACGGCGTATTCGCGACTTCACGATGATGTTGTCGGTGTGAGTGCAGCCCGGGGACGAGTAAAGCAAAGCCAAGCAACGCAAAGCACTTGCTCGTGGTGGCGCGTGCCTTGTACGTCACTTCGCGGGGCAGCGGCTATGACATGACGACACAAAGGAGACGGAAACGAAAAACGATGGAGCTCTCTCGCTTGTCTGGTTGGTTGGTGGCTGAAGATCAGACCTTGGCACGGGTGGCTTGTTGGGAAGGCTCAAACTTGGAGAAGAAAAAGGGTCTGTCTAATGAGCCAGCATAAACAGGCAGTGAAACATGAGCATCCTTCAGCCATGGCTTTCATGGCTGCGGGTGGCGCGTAACGCGGGTTGCTTCTTGAATGTGTCACTACAAATTTGTAAATATTGCCAGCTTAAGTCAATAATTGGGCGAATGGTTTAGTGGTATAATACTCCCTTAGCACGATCCATACACCTGGTCAATGCATGGGAGTGGTCCGGGGTTCGATTCCCCGTTTGTCCAGTCAGCCCTTCGTGGCGACTTTACCTTTTTCCTCCATCCATGATGCGGATGATATACCAACCCTCCTTTTTGCCGTTCTGCCAAGTGTTATCCGATAATTGCGCATACAATAGGACCACAACTTTTCGGCTTATCAAACGCTGGGACGCAGTTAGGGCCATGTGAGCGTATGTAGCAAGAAACAGGTCAGAAGGTGCAATTGAAGCGCGCGCCAGATAGCTCCAGAACTTGCACGTACGAAAAGCTCGCGCGTCAGTCGAGCCTTTCTGATCTGTCCGATGTATCATAATCAGCAGGGCCCCCAAGCTCGAATCCATTCTCCTCTGGCCGATTTGTAAGCCCGTGCCAGCTCCAGCCTCGTCATGTGCGGCCAGTTGCCACAGCCGCGAGATTTTCTTTTTTAACATTTTGCGTTGAAAAACGACCTTAATTGAAAGCCGAGGTAGAATTGGTCAAGTCGGAGTCCCGATGGATGAGCAGGTAGGGCTTCACGGACGGAAGATCAAATTCAAATCCATCCTGCGGGGTTTAAATCTAGTCTGTGCACTGTGACCATTGAGAAGTGGCAGGCGCGAACGTGTGACAGCCGTCGGTGGGTGGTCCGAGAGTCGATGGGAAAGAGCAAATGAAGCACGTGTTGACGACAAAATCGATTCCTATTTTTCCGTCAATCTGACCTCACCAATTTGCCGAATCATGCTCTCCAACACATGCAGAGCAATTTTGTGATCCCAGTCGCGGTCCGCACGCAAATCCATCCTGTTCGTCTCACCCACCACCTGCTCACTTTGGGCCCGTTTGACGTGTTTTGGCTGAGCAATCAAAGAATACACAAGCTTCAAAGAACTGAAACCAGTAAAAATCCGACGAATCTGACGCCGGAAACAAAACCTGGCAAGTGGCTGGTTGGCCCGGAGTTGGCCGACATGTCGCACATGGGACGTCCAATCCGCCTCCTTGGCACCGGACGACCAGCAGCTTTCCCTGGTACAACCTACATGTGGTTGATCTCGTCGGACAACTGCCCTACGACCGTGGTGCCTGAAATTCGACAGAAGCCGCTACACCCGGCGCTACGATGATCTAGTGCCGCCTTTATAATTCCACATGAGCTGTGTTGAAGACTTGCGTGGTGAATCGAGTGCCCGGGTCTAGGCCCGGCAATGCCAGAGTCCAGAATCAGCGTCACCACGGCCGCACGCCTACATCATCATGGTGCATCAGCTCTGTTGAGGAGAGCTGAATGTGCAGTCCAGCAGCAATGTCCTGCAGCAAAGTGCTTGGTTACGCCCACTGCAACACCGTCTCGAGACGCCTCCCGCTGCGCACAGAAAGTTGGGCTCAATCTGATGGCCCAAAGAAGACTCGATGAGCGGGACATATGGTCGTTCCCAGCTGGGCATTTCTTCCCGCTCCGGCTGAACTGAAGTAAAGAGGGGAAGGGGGGTCGCGGTGGGTAGGTGGCTCAGGAAGGGCCATGTTTGTGGGGGGCGACGCTAAAAGAAGCCAGCCAGCTTGGTTCCATCACAGGCTAGTGAACACTCACGATGGATTATTCGGATCATCACAACGACCCTCATGGCAGAGACTGCTTCTTCTTGCTCATGGTCTTCTACTCTTTGTCCACTTTTGTTCTTGGCACAGCACTAGCATCACTTACTTCCCCCTTCTGGGACAAACTTGATGTCGTGATGATGGGGCTTCTAGGTGGCCCGCATTCCTCCCCAAACAAGCCTTCCATGGTCTCGGCCATCGAGGATCAACACCAACTGTTGGACGATCTTGTCAGTTCGAGCGCGTCGAAAAACAAAAGCCTGGCCGCCGGCAAGGCAAAGGTCCACTGGCCCAGTTCTCGGACCAAGAACTCCCCATGTGGTCAATCAAATAGTCTCTGCCCTGAGAGCGTCATGCGGGCCGATCAATCGAAAAGGCGGCTTTTTGTGAGGGACTGTGTGCGCCCACACACTCACAAACACTCCTATGATGGCAGGGCGCCTGTGATCACTGACTGAAGATGGTCTCGTCCCGCGCGGCGGAGGCCAGGACAATGCATGATTTGATGCAGTAGACTCTAGTCTGGTGTCACGCTGGAGTTGGAGTGGCTGTAGGACTCTTCCACCACGGTCCACTCTTGATGGCATATTGATTGTACAGTGCTTGGTTTTTTTTTTTTTCGGTGCAAGAGTTCGTGCCGGCGAACTTTTGATGGCAATTGCAGGCTTGGATCGTCTAAAAACAGGGAAACAGACAGGGAGATGGCTGGTTGAGGTGGAATCAGGTGATGGGAACCCAGGTGATTCATGCCAGGCACTGGCAGGGGTTACGACAAGAATTTGGCGGCTTCCCTGAGCCAGGAACCTAGACGTCAATGCAGCACCGCCTTGCCATTCCCCTTCACCTTGGGTTACGTGTGATTGGCGGATGGAACTTCACCACGCGTGAATTGGCGCAGTATCGTGCCCCTCGATTTGCTTCAAATTACCGCCGGCACAGGTGGAAAGGCGGGAATGGGCTCCAAGAAGCGGGGGAACACGCAGGTCGGCGATGAACCAAGGGCGCCCGAAATCGTATGGGATCAGGACAAAGTCGGCTTCCCCAATCCGATGAGGGCACCACCGTACCCGCGACTTTGTGCCAGCTTGGCGGTATCGCCGCCGACGCCCACGTTGCACCAACTAAGATGCATGTCGCAGAAGACACAGAGAAGAGCGCGAGACGGCCTAGCCCCCTATCCCCATCCAGGACTGCCTGCATTCCGCTCCAAGACTTGCAGGCCAGCCTGAAGAAAACAAGCTTCACCCTCGCACAAGATGTCTGCACTTGCCGCGGCTGGCTGGCCGAGGCTGGCTGGCCGAGGCTGGAGCTGGACCCAAGCGACCCAAGCGACCCAAGCCAGGACCGAATAGCACCCACCCATGGTCAACGGCAACTGCATGAATGGAAAAGTGTTCGCCATTTCTGAAGTCCGCCGAGGGCCTCTCTCGCGCCTCCATGCGCGGCATCACCTGAGACGGCTTGGAACGGACAGGCACAAGGCGATCTTGCGTTTTTTTCATGCCATCATTTTGCAGCAGCCTCTCCTTTCACATCTCAAATCTCACTCTTGGGTCTGACAGCCAAGCCACATGGATGGACATCGTGGTCCGTGGTAGTGGCCAACGGAATCGAGCGAGGGGTCGTGAGCCGGGCGTGTCTGCTGATAAATTAGCACCACCTTGGCCGGGGAGATGAACAGAAAAGGGTGTGTCGTTAAGGTTCGGTGGCTTTTTTCTTGGTTGGCGGGGTGTTTTCATGTGTCTCGCTGACTCTCTGACAGTCCCGCATTCGCCAATTACGCCCTGTGCCTTCTTTTCTGCGGCGTTGGCACCCAAGATCTCGTTCCGAGGCGTGACAACACACTTCCTTTCCTCTGCCACTGGCCGGGAAACAACCACGAGCCGGGGCACCTTCCCATACAGTCGATATGGCGGGCCCAGGGGGAGGGTGCAGTTGCCGCCCGTGATGTGACAACATGGTGCCAGAGAACAATGGCGAGGCCCCAGAGTTGATGCACGCGGAACGATTGGAGCCTGTAATGGGACCTCCCCAAGGTTGCCTCGCATAGTATCACGAACCCGAGATGGGACGAAATGTACACGTCCATGTTCGCGGCTGAGCTGGGATGGAGCGTACCACTGAGACATGAGTGACTCTATCCCCTCGACCTTTGAGTTGATTGACGCCTCAAGTTCCCTGGGCCTGGACTATCCATTTCTTGTGGTCTGTACATTGTATAATACATATACAACTCGCACTCCCAACGCCCAGCACGGCCAAGCCTCCTCGAAGCTCTACTGAGGCCCCTTTCCACGGCTCATGTCCTTGAAGCACAAAATGGCCGTACAATCAGAACCTTGCTGGAACTATGCAGTCAGCTCGATAACCATTCCCGGGGACACGGTCACGTTCACGACAAACGGCTTCCCCGTCTCACCAACATCGATGACAACGACTGCGCTGCCATCACCACCGTCAACGGTTTCCTTCCCGCCTCAGACACCTCTGGCATCAGATCCGCCGCCTCAACCTTCAAACCGGACCCGAAACCGGAGACATCATTCCAAGATGTCGGCTGCGTCGTCATCGCTTCCGAACCCGAAAGAGCTGAGCATAGAGGACGACTGGACGAGAGTCAAGTGTCCCAAGGAAAAGAAGAGAATTCAAAATCGTGTGGCTCAGAGAACATACCGTGAGTCGGGGCTCATCTCATTCTTTTTGCACTGGCCCAAAAAGTTGTCGTATTTTGCACTTGAGCCACGGGCAAGACCATCCTGCATACTGACAAACAAGCTGTCGATTCAGGTCACCGCATGAAGGCAAGACTTGGCGAGCTTCAAGCTCGATTGGATAACCATGAGCGGCAAAGAATGGAGCAAGCTGCTCTCGGCACAGGGGACATGCCGAGTAGCGATGCGGTCGGCTCTGGACACCTGATTTCGAATTCAGCCACGAAGAGCCGCCTCGAGCGAGGGGTCGAGATGGGCTCATCGCCACTCAGCCACTTACGACGGCGATGTGCCATGCTACAAGATGATGGAGTGGTGGGATCGGAGCCGGCGTTTTTCCCGCACAATGTGCACTGTCTCGACAGCCCACCAAACTCGCATTCATCACGACAAGCGCCCAACGGGCTACTGTCGCCTCCCGACCGACGGGACTTTGAACAGTCGAGTAAAGTGCCGCAAGATTTTGTCCTCGACTATTTGCGATTCCAGAGCCAGCTCGTGAATCGCCAGAGCACGGGTGAGCACGATGCTCCTTACACCGCCAGACAAGCTCATTACGGCTCACCCAACTCTTCACTTCCCCAAGGTGTGTTTGTGACTGGGCAAGTGAAGTGCGGCGTTGGCCATGACTGACTGACTCTTGGCAGATGTAGGGATGGACCCGATCAACCGCGACCACATGGGCTGCATAAATGCCTTCCCACCACCACACGTACACAACCTGGACTATTCATT